TTTCAGGTTCAGTCAGTAAGTGTAGCAAAGGCATGCTGTGATTTTTGGTGTCTAAAAATGAGTCAGGAGCAGCACAGGAAATTTATCCAGAGGAGTAAATACTATAGGAGAATGCTGTTCTCTTGGGCTCTTCCTAATGCTGAATTTATATTACAGACTTGAAGGTTCATTGTAGTGAGAAAGCCAAATTTCTCCATTAAATATTCGAAGCATTTCTTGGTACAAACATAATGATTAAAAAACAGTAGCAGTTTATATATACATATCACTCACTCCTGATGTTAATGGGATGTAAAAGCTCTGTATTATTGTGCTATCAAATGCAACCAGGCAGCTTGGATAAAAAACAACACAGAGAGTGAATATATTTCCACAGTGTCTTGCTGTGAAGCTATCAAGGATTAATAGGAGATTCCAGTGCAGCAAACGAGGAAAAGTTTTACTTAGTAGATATCTGAAGAGAGTCACTAAACGCTGTGAACTGATGGTGTGTCAGTTCTGCGACGTGCTGATCCCAGTACTAAATCAAGAGAGCAGTGTCTAATGCCTGAGTCTAGCATGGCATCCCAGAAAAGCTGTTGGAATCACTGTTTCTATGGAAATTTTTGCAAGGGAAATCCAGGGGGCTGAGCAGCATGAGAATCCTCATGCAAGGATGCTGCCGAGATGGGTCATGCTGACTGAGGTGCTGGTGTAAATCGTTCCACGTGGTGGTAACTTAAAAAGCTGACTCCGCTTATCAGCAGAGGAAGCGACCACAAAAGATTGGTACTGGAAGATGAGACGAGGGAGGGAGGAATGAAGTACTTGGCAAGGCAAGAAAAGAGCCAGCAGCTGCTACAGCATGAGTAAAAATTTGTTTGTTTGTTTCCCCATTGTTCGGCTGAATTTGTTCATGATCCCACGGCTTAGAGAACTCCCTCAGGTGGAGTCGCGGATATCAGCAGCGAAATCAAACAGGGTTGCAGTGCGGTGTTCCTCCGATTCTGCCTGGGACTAAATTACGCAGGGCAAACACCGGGAATTTGCTCACAAGGTTATCTAGTGACTGAGGGAGATGAAGGTTTAAGTCCAGTGTGTTGTTTTTAAAGGACAGAATCCCTGCTGGGCTGTGGCTTGGAGCCATCTGGCTAATTGCACAGGAATTTCCCCACCGTTTGAAGGTGAATTGGGGCTAACTGCAGTCCTGCAGCTTTCTGTCTTGGGCTAAAAGGAAAGGCAACATCCCAACATTAACTATTAAGCCAGCTCGGATGTTGCAATCAGGAGATCAAAGGTCTACAGAGATCTGGAACATCAATTCAGGGCCTGGTCATCCATCTTAGGTGGATGTATACAAATGACAGCTAAAATTAAGTGAGAAAGGACCATACAGTAAGTTTATGAGAATTTCAAAGCAGATATAAATCCAACGTTACATGTGAAACAATGGTGCTTCCTTCTATTGAAAATCTTTCCTTCCTTTGTCGTGAGTCAAAAGTTTAGCTAAAGTGATGCATGCCAAATTTATTTGCAAAAGCTGGAGTAGATTAAAAAATAACAACTAACAAAAAACCCCACTGGTAGCTAACAATAGTGACGCATAAGGGATTGTACTGCTCCCAGTGTTAAACAGATGAGATAATATCAACATCAGCATTGTCTCAGGAAACTCCGGATCAGAATCCTGGCCAGCTAAGTTACAAAAAGGCAAGGAACCGGGATTTCACTTAAAATTTTGAGGGTTATCAGGAAAAATGGTTAGGGGGAGGAGAGAAAAATAGCTTTGTGTTTTCCTTTTAGGAGTCTTACTTCAAGCCATAAAAACTTTTATAGAATTATATCCTATAGATAGGTAACAGTGGTGAGGCAGGCCCTGTGCTGATGCAAAGTTCCATCAGAATTTTCTGCAGCCACACGTTGCTGGGGGCTGAATTTGTGCCCCTATTGAGAGTTTCTACTTTGTCTTCCACCTGCGAGTATGCAGGAAGGCAGTGGAGTGTCAGATCAGTGTGCCAAAGGAGAACAGCACTGCTGCACATATATATATTATTTAGTGTAACAGGAACTTCTTAATGGTAACTTTTAGCTAGTACTGCAAAACAGTTAAATTCGTAATGTATCAGGTCAGAGGAACCTCAGGACACTGATTGGGGTGGGTGTGTATTGTTTTTTTAAAGCAATGCTGAATAAAAATAAACTTCCATGTGAAAAAATATTTTTAAATAGCATTGAATAGCTCCAAATAAAACACTTAAAACCAGAGCAACTGCCTAAGGATTGTCTCCTTGTTCAATTCCATTTTAACTGTACTAACAGAGGGACTACTCCTGTCTGAAAACAACCAAAGATGTTTCAACACATTTTTTTATCACAGCAAACATGCTAGTTTGGTTTTCCTTCAGAAATTATTGATCTTTTTTTATTTGCACTTTTAAAGAAGAGCTTATTTTGCCTGCAGAGAAGTTCAGTCTGAAAGGCGAAATGATGAGAAATCTACAAGCAACCGGAGAACACCTGCTAGAATGTAAACAGCTTGTGCAGATTTGCTGCAGGCGTCCCTGAGCCTTCAGCAGCAGGACACACCGAGCGCTTTGCTTTAGAAAAATCAGAATAGTTTTTGTTTTTTTGGCAGATTGCAGATGAGACGAAGTTGGAGACTAGTCCCATCTCTCATGCGGATCACTGATGCCTTCAGCATCCCAGCTTTGGTTCAAACACCAGCCAAACCCCGTAAGAAAAGTGCCTGAGGATGAACAACGCTCAAAGGGAAGCCGTGCTGGCTGCTGTGAATGGGGAGGGCCATTTTGCACTCTGTGCTTCTCGCCGGTGCTGAGCCACAAAAGAAAGCGTGATGCTATTTTAGCCAGCTATTTAGGCCCATGAATAATTCCACTGACTTATTAAGTTTTCACAGAAACTTTAAAAGTTTTAAGTACAGTTAATGTGTATCCACGTGGGTTTGCTGCGGCCAGGACCATTTAATTTCTAAGCAACATCCATATTCTAAAATGTCCTTTAAGGCTGCATGTGACCCCTTTCTCACAAAAATACCCCCACAATAAACCGAACACAAACAAAGAAAAAATTCTCATCACCTTTCAGTATCACGTTACCAGGAAAACTTAACACCCCGCAACTCGCCTGCCCATTGTTAGCAGACAGAACACCTCCTCATCTATAATGATACTCTTTTATCTAAAATTACGATAATTAGCTGCCGTGCCCATGCTGGAAGTGGAAACCCCAGGGAAATTTAGAACAGGAACCTTCTACGCTCATTTCCCCAGGTACACACTTGGCTAATTTGGGGAGGACAGATGATGGGCAGGGGGACATTTTCCAGCGCTCACTGGAGAAGTTGTAAGAGCAGCGGGGATGCCGGGGGGCTGCAGGACTTGCAG